AATCTTCCCTGACAAAAGTCAATCTTTACCTTACATGAGCCTATTGTCTTTCTGCATCTAATAATAACATACCTTTGGGATATCAGGGTAACTTTCCTTTTTCCAGACCCCTCTGGGCACAATAACCTCACCAGAGCAGAGACCACAAACCCCCTCATTGTTATTGTTATTATGTGAATTGTTGACTGTTAATCATCCTGTATCCACCTATGTAAAAGATGTATATGTCTATCATTTTACTTTTTATCCAATCCCAGATGTTTTCCTGCTTTTCTTTCTCCCGCCTCCCTAATCTATCAACAATTTCATGTAATCTACTTATGTCTCTTCTTTTGATTGTAATGTATAAAGAAAGCTGAAAAACTGCCATTCTCTGGAGCATTTTCTCAATCCATTGATATTTTGCTTCCCAGCAGTTGTCAGTTTGGCTCAAATAAATTCATAAAAATTCTCTATAGGTTTGAACATTTTTATGTTGACACAAATTTGGAAATTGATATAAAAAATAAAACAAAAACTTACAAACATAAGTTTAATTTATTTTTCAATTTTTCAATTATAATCACAGAAATATGCTAAGTCTTAAAACAATAGCTCAAGGATTGTGTATGGTTTTGTATGCTTTATACTCTTTAAAAATATATATTTTTATTGTTTTCAGAGAGGAATGGAAAGGGAGAGAGAGATAGAAACATCAATGATGAGAGAGAATCATTGATTGGTTGCCTCCTGCACGCCCCCAACTGGGGATTGAGCCCACAATCTGGGCATGTGCCCTTGACTGGAAATGAACCCAGGACCTTTCAGTCCACAGACCAACACTCTATCCACTGAGCCAAATAGCTAGGGCATATGTTTTATACTTTTGACACAATTGTAAGGTAACATGAGCTGAGTTCTTCATTTTATACTTAACTTTCACAGATTGGTCATCAAGAGGTCATACCTGCAAAAATATTTGAGAGCTTCATTAATTTCTTCACTATTTTTATCAGCCTCATAAAATGTTTAATTTTTCCTAATGTTTACAATTCCATTTGCAATCAGTTCACATTGTGTTTACCTTGTATTGAAGGAAGTTGACAAGCACTGAGAACCAAGAGATTGACTCATAGGGCAGAGATGTGAGAGGAGGTCCTAAGATTATCAACACCCTCTTCACTGGAAAATTATTTCTCTTACAGCTTTGACTTCGTTTTGGAACCCCATCACTATGGAGACTTTGATAAATACTCAGGAAAGAAGGATCTCTTGTAGTTGACCTTGGCTGGAATATAACATGTAGTACGTTGAGAAGTTGTAGGTAATAAGAATGGGAAGGTTGACTGGGGCCTTGAATACTAGAATGAAAAGATAGGGCTTTCTTTATTTTCTTAATGGACAATAGGGAACTATTGAAGGTGTGGGGCATTGGGAGTGAAGTGACCAAAGCTATCCTTTAAGATTTTTCTGGAAACACTGGGAAGGACAGGTTGCAGTGGAGTTTACAGGTATGTGTCCAGTCAGGAGACTGATAAAACCCATCAACACTTGTGTTTCCTTACGACATGTTTGTCTATGGAAAGAAAATGATTTCTCGTTTATCAACTCTTTGTGTCCTCCTTTGACTCCATTGCAATTGATGGCGGTGCACACTTTCATTTATCTTTGTAGGATGAGAAACATTTTTCAGAGCCATTTGCATGTTTTAAGCAGCCCACACAGAGACTAATGTGATTGGCAATTTGGAACAGACTGTCTCGTTCAGCTCTAGAATCACGCCTGAGGGAAGAAGGGTTAAGTAAGAAGGAAAACAGCCCCTCCCCACCCTTTCCACCTCTATGAAAACTTGAAATTAATGTCTTCATCTTGCGTTGTTTACTTTAGAAGATAAGATCAATGAAGGCTGAAACTTCTTTTAGGCTAAAGACTCAGGAAAGTCCCTGAGATGAAGAAGAGCGGAGGTTATTTTTTAAGCCTTCTTTCTAAATCCATTTATGTTATCCCTTTGGAGCCTCAAATGAAGTGACATAAGTGATCCAATTTTTTTTCCAGAATGTTACATAAAAGTACTTTTAAACTATGATAGTTTTTAAAAAATCTGAATGCGTCCACGCTTCCCTTCATTCTTCCTTTCACAGCTCCCTCACCCCAGTCACACATGTACACATACACACATGCACAAGCACCCACACACACACATGCACACACATACACACATACTAAACAAAGAATGCATTGCAGTGGGAGGAGGATAAATACTAGTAGAGGTTCAGTAGAAGAAAAGTAATGCCATCCAAATAAGAATTTTGGAAGATAGGCTCCTATTCTCTCAGTTGAAGGTTCTGAAAATCTGTAATGGGTCTTTCTATTTCCTAAACAAATGTTAACAATAAATAAATAAATAAATAAATAAATAAATAATAGGGTAATTGGCCCCTTGAAGAAAATAAATGTTCCAAGGAGTGTTAGCAGGTAGAAGGGCCTCAAAGCTGTTGTCCATGTCTTACTTTCTACAGCTCTGGAGCTAGAGAATTTGCAATGATTGCCAACTCCTCTCTGGCTTCTATCCAGGGCCTCTCTATTATTATCAGTCCTGAATTCTATTAACCCCCACCCCACCAACATCCTAAGTTGAACATAAAGATGATTTCATTATTTTAAAATCCAGTACTTTACCTGAAAGGCTCAGCGATTCTTTATTGGCAAGATGATGACAGAAAACACCTTCCTAACCCATGCCAGGCAGGCAGAAAATGTACCTTGCTCCTACTGCATGCTGGCGATGCTCTCACAATGAATAAGGTAGAGCACAATGAATAAAGTAGAGAAGTCCCTTGAAAAATAAAAAATAAAAAAACTTTATTAAGAAAGGAAACAAGTGAATGCAATACACATAAAAGAAACAAGTGAATGCAATACACTTCATTACTAATAAATGCAATGAATTGATTAAAGCAGGAACATGGGTTGGGTGGGAGCAGAGGGAGCTGCTTCACCCAGGCTTATCAGGGTAGACCTCCCTGAGGAGGTGGCAATTGAGTAGGACTCAACAAACACAGTTAGACTTGAATACTTATTTGAACTCTAAGTCAGGATGAGCACACTGATCTAGGTTTAGTTTTCCCAAGACTAAGTTCCCATTTCAAAAACTGGCATTTAATTTCTGCAAACTCACAGGGATGCTTCCTTTCCACCCTCATGGGACGGAGCAAACACTTTGTGGAGTGAGACACTCATAATCTTAAACTTTCACAGAAAATACTAAGTAAATGAAAGGTCTTGTGGGGTTGCAGGGTTTAATCACTATATTATGGGTAAGGGGATGGAAGTCAGAAAAGTTGTGAGTTAATTGCCAAAGTTCACATGGAAAGGTCCAGGAATCTTGGTGGCTTAGTTCAGTGTTTCTTGAATGTTCTATAAGAATTCTGATATGTCAGTAATGCATTACTTCTCCATTGCTGCATATTACCCCAAAATTTAGCAGCTTACAGCAACTAATGTTTTCTCACAGTTTCCAGCCTCTGGAGTCATCTCCAAATGTATCAGCTGGGCTACCGCCTCAAAGCTGGGCTGGAGGAGGACCCACTTCCACCATCACTCACTGGGTGGTTGGCAGGTCCCAGCCCTCATGGGTTCTTTCCCCAGATCAAGGGCAAGAGAGAGAGAAAGAGAGAGAGAAAGCCGTCTTTGTAACTTAATTATGGAGTGATAGCCCATCACTTTGCCACATTCTAGTCATTAGATCTGAGTCTCTGAGTGCAACCAAGGGCTGGGGGTGGCACAGAGGCATGGGTACAAGGAGGGATGGCTGGGAGGATTTTAGAAGCAGCCTACAGAAAAGGTTATTTTTAAAGTAGTATATAAGTCAAAATAATTTTTTTATTAGACAGTTATTTAAAAATTCAATATTGTATTTTGGGGTCCATAATTAAATTCAGTGGCTCACCAAACTAATGATTAAAGAACAAAAATAACTTCATGATTAAAATGGAAAAAAAATTACAGAATTGATAATAATGCTAACCTGAAGTTGAAATATTCAAACTGACAAGTGAAACTTAAAACACACAAGTATCTTTTCACTTTATTGTGCTCAACATCATCAATGTAATTCCAGCAAAATAAAATCATCCAACAATTAATGTCCATCTGGATTTATTGGTTGATGGCTTTGGCTGTTTTTATTTGTAAACTTCACAGCAATCCTTCAGAGTAGATTCTATTGTAATAAACACCCCAGGGCTTAGGAACAATAGTAGCGTACAATTAGGTCATCGTAGTCTCTGGCTCAGTTGCAAAGCCCACAGCTTCCTCTTAACATTTTTTACAGCCAAAAGAGCAGGTCACGGTGTAGCCAGGGGTTGACGGGTTCCAGGAACCTAACCTTTCAAAGGTATGAGTCTATATCCTGTGTTGAAAAATAGAGCAATTTTATGTGTATGTGTTTGGCCAACCGTTTTGTGGTTTTTGTAAATAAAAGCTCACTTCTACATCTGGTCGGGGCTGCAGTTTTGGTCCTCGCTTCGGTGAGGTACTGGCACTGCAGACGCTGGCCAGCTGAATAAAGGCTCCTAAATTCTACCCTTTGGCTCTGGTGGTCGTCTCTTACGGGTTGCCTCATAACATTTGGAGGCTCCAGTGAGATAAAAGTCCGGCCTTGTTGCCGGTGGACGCCCCAGTAAAGGAACCTCCAGTCTCCGGCCCGGGTTCCCGGGAGGCGGAGTGTTTTCCTCTAAATTGTGATCTGAAAGAGCGAGCCACCTGGACCTCCAGTGGGGAGGTAAGAGTCTGGTTTCTGGTTGTGGAACTTTCCCTCTGGGACCGCTGGAGGGCTGGACGCAGCGGAACCTCCTGGTCCAGACTCCCGGTCGCGAAGGTGCCCGGGGTCCCTGGTTATTGTTAGTCTTCGCTGTATTGGTTGTGTCTGTCTTGTCTTTGTTGTCCTCGCCTTTGTAAGAATGGGTCAGGGACGGTCGTCTGTGTGTATCCCCATACAATGTTTTTTGAAAAATTTCCAGGACTTCCAGCGGCGTGCGGGAGGATATGGATATGATGTCAATGATTTTGATTTACAGCGATTCTGTGAGAGGGAGTGGCCCGCATTTCAGGTTGGCTGGCCAGATGTGGGGTCTGTCGACCTCACGACTGCCTACCGGGTCCATCATGTGATCTATGGCCGGCCGGGCCACCCTGACCAAATTCCATACATCCAGGTCTGGGTTGACATCCTGGCCGAAAAACCCCGATGGCTAAAGACTTGTCTAAGCCAACAAAAACAATTGGGACAGAGACAGACAGTCCTGTTGGCCACTCCGGGAAAAGGGGAAGTTCAGCCCGTTCTTCAGAGCAACCAGGAGGAGAGTTCCCCGCAGGTTAGACCCCGCCCCCCCATGCGCCGCCTCCTCGGGGTGCGTCTGAGGGGGACCCAGAGCCCCTCCCTCCTCCGGAGAAAAAACCGTTCCCTGCGGAACCCCCCGGGCAAATGTTGTCTCCGACAAACCCTTTTAGTCCTCCGCACACCTGGCAGGGAACCCCTTGTGGGTTGCAGGGTGCTCTCCGGAGTGAGCCGGAGCAGGCGGGCCGCGAGCAGCTCCCCTGTTGCCACTCAAGCAGGCAGGGCCCTCGGCCCTCGGCCCTGACGGACAGCCCTTTATGGTCTACGTCCCTTTTCCCACCAGGGATCTATATAATTGGAAGAATCAGAACCCCTCCTTCTCTCAAAATCCTCAGGGGTTGATCTCCCTCCTTGAGTCAGTCTTTCTCACCCATCAGCCGACCTGGGCTGATTGCCAACTCCTCCTCCAGACCCTGTTTACTTCCGAGGAGAGGGAGCGGATTAGAGCAGAGGGCCGAAAGTTAGTCCTTGGTCCCGATGGACAACCCTCTACTGACCCAGGGAGAGTGGAAACTCTCTTCCCAGCGGGGAGACCTCAGTGGGACCCTAATTCGGGGGGGAGGGAGGCTCTTGACCGGTATCGCCAGACTCTCCTGAGGGGAATCCGGGCAGCGGCTCGGAAGCCCACAAACCTGTCAAAGGTGACAGAAACGGTTCAAGGACCAAACGAAAGCCCAGCCGCTTTTCTGGAGAGGCTGTGTGAGGCATACCGGGTGTACACTCCTATTGACCCGGAGGCCCCAGAAAACAGGCGGGCTATTAATGTAGCATTTGTGTCCCAGTCGGCCCCAGACATTAGAAGGAAATTACAAAAGTTAGAAGGCTTCGAGGGGAAGTCAGTCTCTGAACTGGTAGAGGTTGCTCAAAGGGTTTTTCACAATCGTGAGGATCTGACCGCCGGACTGAATACCAAAATGGTAAAAATTTTATTAGCTATGAATGAAAGCAAGGATTCCAAGGGCCCCAGGAGGGGGCAGAAAGGAAATGGTGGCAGCGGTGGTCAGCAGCCACGGGGCCCCCGAGGTAGGCTCTGAAAGAACCGGTGCGCCTACTGCAAGAAGGAGGGACACTGGAAGCGCGAGTGCCCAGAAAAGCCGGGGGCTCGGGCGGCGCCTGTGTTAGGAGAGGAAGCAGATTGGGGCCGTCAGGGCTCTACCGGCCCCCGAGAGCCCCCGGTTGGGGGCCAAAAAGTGGACCTTCTGGTCGACACCGGCGCCACATTTTCGGTCTTGCGGTGCCCAGTGGGGCCGGTCTCTGGGGTTAGGACCCCCATCCAGGGGGCTGCGGGAAGAGTGAAGTCTTACCCTTGGACCAGAGGGCAGATAACTGACCTAGGAGCAGGGTCAGTGACTCACTCCTTCTTAGTAATGCCTGAGTGCCCATACCCCCTATTGGGCAGAGACTTACTTAACAAACTTCGGGCCACTATCTCCTTTGATGAAGGAAAGGGACCCAAAGTTCACCTTCAGGCCCCCGAGGGTGAGGGTATATTCCTCCTCACTCTCCCTTTACAAGAGGAATATCGGCTACACGAGGAAATACCCAAGGTTCCTCCAGAGAACCACTTCCTCCAGGAGTTGCGAAAGGCCATCCCTGGGGTATGGGCGGAAGAAAACCCGCCTGGACTAGCGAAACATCGACCTCCCATTATAGTCCAGCTCACCAGCAGCGCAACCCCAGTCAGAGTTAGACAATACCCGATAAGCCAGAAAGCTAGAGTGGGTATAGCCAAGCACATAAAGAGACTGAAGGAAGCGGGGATCCTAGTCCCCTGCCAGTCAGCATGGAACACCCCTTTGCTACCTGTCCAGAAGCCAGGAACAGAAGATTTCAGGCCTTAAGGGAGGTCAGTACAAGACTTAAGGGAGGCCAATAAGAGAGTAGAGACTATACACCCTGCGGTGCCCAACCCGCTACCTGTCCAGAAGCCAGGAACAGAAGATTTCAGGCCAGTACAGGACTTAAGGGAGGTCAATAAGAGAGTAGAGACTATACACCCTGCAGTGCCCAACCCATATACTCTTTTAAGCCTCCTTAAGCCCACTCACCAGTACTATTCTGTTTTGGACCTAAAGGATGCCGTTTTCTCCCTCCCGCTGGCACGACAAAGCCAGCCAATCTTTGCTTTCAAGTGGATGGACCCCGAGGAAGGGGAGTCGGGCCAGTTAACCTGGACCAGGCTTCCCCAAGGCTTCAAAAATTCTTCCACCCTATTTCATGAGGCTCTTAACCAAGACCTCTGGGACTTTCACCAGGACCACACCGGTATTACTCTGCTCCAATATGTCGATGACCTTCTCCTGGCGACTGAAAATGAAGAGGATTGCATCCAGGCCACACAGGATTTGCTGAGGACCCTGGACCATCTTGGATACCGTGTCTCTGCTAAAAAGGCCCAGCTCTGCACAACCCGGGTAACGTACCTCGGCTACAACATAGAAGGAGGTAAGAGAACCCTGTCCCATAGTAGGATCCAGGCCATTCTCTCCATCCCGACGCCAAAAACCAAGCGGCAGGTGCGGGAGTTCCTGGGAGCTGTCGGGTACTGTAGACTCTGGATCCTAGGTTTTGCTGAGATAGCCAAACCCCTTTATGCAGCCACGGGAGGAAAGGGGCCAGACCTACGGTGGACTGAGGAAGAAGAGGGAGCTTATCAGAAACTTAAGCAAGCCCTCGTCAGTGCACCCGCACTGGCCCTCCCAGACCTTGCCAAACCGTTCCAGTTATTTGTGGCGGAGTCCCGTGGGGTGGCGAAAGGGGTGCTAATGCAAACTTTAGGACCACGGAAACAGCCAGTAGCGTACCTATCCAAAAGACTGGACCCTGTGGCATCCGGATGGCCGAACTACTTAAGGGCAATTGCGGCAACCACACTGCTCGTGAAAGAGGCTTCCAAATTAACCTTTGAGCAAGACCTACAGGTAGTGGTGCCTCACGCAGTTGAGTCATTACTGCGAAGCCCTCCGGAGCGTTGGCTGTCAAATGCCCGTATCACGCAGTATCAGGTTCTTTTACTGAACCCTCCCCGAGTTAGTTTCCTAAAGACTGCTGCCTTGAATCCAGCCACCTTGTTGCCGGACGAGGGGGCTGAACCTCCCCTACACAACTGTGAGGACACATTAACAGCCTTAACTTCGCTGCAGGCCGACATCACTGACCAACCCCTGGACAGTCCGGAGGAAACAGTGTACACAGATGGAAGCAGTTATGTAGAAAATGGTATCCGGTATACAGGGGCTGCGGTAGTCACCCAAGATAGGATTATCTGGGCGCAGGCTTTAGGGCAAGGCACGTCTGCCCAGAAGGCAGAGCTAATTGCCCTGACCCAAGCCCTAAGGTGGGGGAAGAACAAGAAAATCAATGTCTATACGGAGAGCAGATATGCTTTTGCCACAGTTCATGTACATGGGGCACTGTACCAGGAATGGGGGCTCTTAACCTCAGGGGGAAAGGACATCAAAAATGTACCAGAAATCCTCAACCTCCTAGCAGCCGTTTGGGGACCCCAGGAAGTAGCAGTAATTCATTGCCGAGGACATCAGAAGGATGATTCACCTGTAGCCCAGGGAAACCAATTTGCAGATCAAACAGCCAAGGAGGTGGCAAAAAGACCAGTAGGGCCCCTTGAGGTACTACTGGCCATACCCCCCAGAGAACTGCCACAAAAGCCCACATATAACCCTGAGGAAAAGCATCTTGCCGAGAGGCTGAGGGCTAAGGACGCCCCCAGCGGCTGGCTGGTCCTCCCGGATGGGCGGCCTCTAGTGCCAGAGGTCTTAGGACGCACTATCACCATGCAGACCCACCAGAGCACTCACCTAGGGGGAACCAAGTTGGCAGAGTTACTAAAAGGGGAATATTATATCCCTGGACTGCACAAAATCTCTAAGGACATTGCCAAACGGTGTCATATTTGTGCCCAGGTGAATCCAGGCCCCCCGGTAGCGGCACCCCCAGGACACCGATTCCGGGGGTTGAGCCCAGGAGAACATTGGGAAGTGGATTTTTCTGAGCTACCCATGGGACAAGGAGGATATCGGTATCTCCTGGTTTTCATGGACACCTTCTCCGGATGGCCTGAGGCATACCCAACCAGGACAGAGACAGCACAAGTGGTAGTTAAGAAACTCCTCTCTGAAATTGTCCCAAGGTTTGGCCTACCACTATATATCGGGTCCGACAATGGCCCGGCGTTCATCGCCAAAGTTAATCAAACTCTAGTTAAGGCCCTTAGGGTAACTTGGAAGCTACATTGTATCTATAGACCTCAGAGTTCTGGTCAGGTAAAAAGAATGAATCGGACTCTTCAGGAGACATTGACAAAGCTAAAATTAGAGACTGGCGAAAACTGGGTGAGCCTCCTTCCTTTTGCCCTACTCAGAGCTAGATGTACTCCCTACATAAAGGGGCTAACTCCTTATGAAATTATGTTTGGCAGACCTCCCCCCCTCCTCCCCTGCTTACGAGAAGAGGAGCTTGCCCAGTTGTCTACCCATAATTTGCTTAAGTCCTTACAGGCACTCCAGAACTGTTCCACGTCAGTCCACCGGCTGGTGCAGGCAGTACATAAAGAAGACCAGAAGCAGTCGCCCATGGCTCATCCCATCTATGTTCCAGGGGACCTGGTCTGGGTGAAGCGCCACGATCCCGGTAGCCTCGAGCCCCGCTGGGACGGCCCGTTCCAGGTGATCCTGAGCACCCCAACCGCAGTCAAGGTCGCAGGAAAGAGGCACTGGATTCACCGTACCCAAAAAGGCTGAAGATACAGCCGAAAGATGATCCATCGAATGAACAATGGACCCACTCAAGGTCAGGCTGAAAAGGGCCCCAGTCTGAGTATTCTGATTCTCAGCCTCCTCATTGAGGCTTATGGGAATGCCCACCATCCCCCGGAGTACTCCTAGGAGGTGACCCGCACCATAGACAGGACAGTCATTGGAAGAAACACCACCGCGGGCGCCCCACATATAACCACTGACCTCTGCCGATTCTTTGGGGGATACCCCACCTGAGAGGGGCGATCCATAGGAAAAAGTACTCACATGCACACCAAGCTTAAGACATTCCACTGTGGGTCGAAGGTATTGAAGTATGGTAGCAATCATCTCAGGTAGAAACTATAGTTTAACTTTAACCCTGCTGTTTGGCTTCTGTACTTATTTGCTTTGTTTAACAATAGAAAAGTTATTTTAATTTTCTGAATTATATAAATCATCCCATTCGATTAAATACCGTATTGATTGTAATGTGAAATCCCATTTGTAGTGGTCATACTGGTCTTAGAAAGCACATTTTCCTTTACCTGGGAAGGACAGCACAGTTATCCCAAGGTCAGAGGGCTCCAGTTAACGTGTCCCTGTTGACTCAGTGTTCCGGAGACCCAAAACTGTAATTTAGATAACATGCTGCTTCTGCTTCTGTAAACTGCTTTTTTGCAAACCAGGTTCCTCATTCCAAACATTGAGATGTAAGCAATACCTTTGTGATCTTTGCCTTTTTAAGTCTGGTTTTGCCACCATCTTATCACTATGAGATTTGGGAAAGCAAAATGGCCCCTCAGAGTCCCAGATTGCAATAAATGTGACTCTTTAATTCGACTTCTTGAGGTGTCCTTCTGTGATTCGCGGGGTACATTACAACAGTATGGGAGGAAGAACTATGGCACACTCAGCATTATGTCTGCCCCTGGGAAGGGCCCCCTAAATGTAGAGGAGAAGGGGATTTTTATTATGCATCTTGGGGATGTGAGACAGTAGCCCCCTGGAAAACTACGGACTCATTACTTTGGTTGACTCGGGTAGTATGCCCAGGGGCACCAAAGGGTTGCTCAAGTGGGGACTACAACCCAGTAATCCTCCAACCCTCAAACTGGTGGGCAGACTACTGGGAAGGGGGAAAGACTTGGGGCCTGCGGCTATATGTCTCGGGGCAAGATCTGGGAGCACTGTTCACCATCCTGTTACCTAGAAACTATTCAGGGGAAATGCCCACTTACCTGGTAGCCCCAAACAGAACCTGGTGGGCTTGCACAACAGGAATTACGCCGTGCGCCTTTACCTCCGCTTTGCAGCACCCTACGGACCCCAGACTATGTATCTTAACCCATATTTTGCCCCAGGTTTACTATTACTCAGGGGAAGGAGGGCGAGAACACCTCAAGCTTGAGCCCAGATGGTTTAAAAGGGCTCCAGTCTTAGTTCCCCTCCTCATGGGGTTAGGGCTTGCCGGGTCTGCTGCTGTAGGGACGGTTGCCCTGGTTACTGGGCACCGGAACTACTGAGAATTGAGTCCCCAGATAGACTCTAAAGAAAATTGGACAGCTAGAAGTTTCTTTAAGCTCACTAGCTGAAGTGGTCCTTCAGAACAGAAGAGGTGCTGTCCTATCTGCACACTGCTTGTCCTATTAGAATATTTAAAAACATTATTCCCAAGGCCCTGTGTGCTCTGGTAAAAAACAAAAACAAAATCCCACATGGCTTGTCCTATTAGAATATTTAAAAACATTATTCCCAAAGCCCAATAATAAGTTTGCTCTGTTCTTCCTGTGTGCTCTGGTAAAAAACAAAAACAAAATCAAGGCTTACTGGCCTGTCCCAAGATAAGGGTAATAAATCATTTCTTCAGGCCTGAGGTCGGTTCCAGCATCCAGAGCCAGTGTAAGAAGAGGTAGCCTCGTGGTCATCCTGCCTTATGGCTCAGGAGCTAAAACAGAACTTAGTTTAAGACATTATCTTTAGCCTGTTAGGGGCTTACCCCTTGTGACCATTCATCAGAACTGGGCTATTTTCTCCTGCTGCCTCAAGGGTCAAAGTTCATCAAGATCATCAAGGTGAGAGGCCAAGGTCAGGTCAGTGAAGTGTGCTGAGAGAGAGAAGGGGAAAATGATTGTTTTAAAACTAGCTTAAATCAAGTCAGAATTAGGACTCTGGGTTTCAATATCGACTTGATGAAATATACATGCCTCTTTGGGCTTTACTCTAATATTTGTGAAATTGAGGGCTTTATGTGCAAGTTTATTTTTTAAATACCCTTTAAAATAAATTCATGAGAGTTAATTAAAAATAAAAAGGATTTTATCTACCAGTTACCAAAATTGGGACTCCATTTGTCCCTGTTCTAAAGTATTTATAAAGAGGACAGGACCAGCTGTGCCCCATTGTCTTTATTTCAGGACTTGCCCCACCCAGTTAAGGGAGAGAATCTGGATCCAAAGACCCACCTTAGCCTCAGGATCTGGGAAGGGGAAGAAAGGAGAAAAGGCTGCCCCTTCCCCCACCCACCACCCTCTGGCTATGGGCTATTGCACGCTACTGGTTTGAAATGAGATTGTTTTCCTGAACACCTGTGGGGCCATCCTTCAGTCAATAGTTCATATTCATTAACTAATGAGCAGCTGGAGACAGGAAAAGCCTTTCTGGGAAGGCTGCTTTCTGAGCTTGCTGAGTCAATACCCCTCCCTTCATTGTTCCCCCTCTGCAAGCTGCCTTTGGCTGCTCAGAGCATTAACTCTGAGGCAGGGACATTGTGGCCTATGTTGACATTGTCTGATGTCTTGTTGGGCCTCTGAAATATGTGTATTTGGGCTGTTTGTGTACAAAAAAATAAAGGGAAGCTGGTCACTCAGATCCATGAGGGTTTTTTGTGGTTTTTTTTGAAGACTCGGAAGCTTTATTTCCAATTCCTTCCCCTCTCCTCTCTCTCCTTGTTGCTCTGCTCTGTCTCCTCCTTCGTTCCTCCTCCCACTTTCTTTTCCTTCACCTTCCTCCTGGTCCTAGCTCATCTTCTCTTTATTTTCATCTCTCTCCTTTCTCCTTTTTCTCAACCTGCTTAATTCAATATAGATTTCTTAAATAGTCTACCTGTTTATTATGGGGAAGATCATTTGGATCATCCAGGAGTGTTGCTAGTTAAAATGATTAGGACAGGAGGTCCTTTAAGTGATGAGATTGGGGGGGGGGGGGGCGGTTTGAGTACCTTCCTCTTACAGTTGATATTAAATAAAATAATGCTCATAAACACGTTTGGCTTATAGAAATGGCTCTATAAAAGTTAGTTTTATTATTTGCTTCTCTGAACTATTTTAATATTCATCAAATAGACAGAAAGTATTACAGGTGTACTCTTCCCCCACCTCCCATTAGCCCCTCTCCCCCCACTCCTGTCCACTCCTCAAGCCTTCACTACACTATTGTCTGTGTCCATGGGTTATGTATAGATGCATGTAAGTTCTTTGGTTAATCTCTTCCCTTCCCAGCCCACTCACCCCCCTTCCCTCTGAGAATCATCAGTCTGTTGCATGCTTCCATGTCTCTGGGTCTATTTTACTTGTCAGTTTCTTTTGTTCATTAAATTCTACATATAAGGGAGATCATGTAATATTTGTCTTCCTCTGACTGGCTTATTTCACTTAGCATAATACTCCCCAGGTCCCTCCACGCTGTCGCAAAGGGTAAGAGATCCTTCTTTTTTACAGCTGCATAGCATTCCATTGTGTAAATGTACCACAGCTTTTTTATCCACTAATCTACTTATGGGCACTTGGGCTGTTTCCAGACCTTAGTTATTGTAAGTAAGGCTGCTATGAACATAGGAGTGCACATATTCTTTCTGATTGGTGTTTCAGGCTTCTTAGATTATATTCTTAGAAGTGGGATCCTGGGTCAAATCGCAGCTCCATTTTTAATTTTTTGAGGAAACGACACATTGTTTTCCATTGTCATTGTACCAGTCTGCATTTTCACCAGCAGTGTACTAGGTTCCCTTTTCTCCATATCCTCAACAACTTGTTGTTTGTTGGTTTATTGATGGTAGCCATTCTGGAAGGTGTGAGTTGGTACCTCATGGTAGTTTTAATTTGCATCTTTCTGATGATTAGAGACTTTGAGCGTTTTTTCATATGTCTCTTGGCCATTTGTATGTCCTCTGTGGAGAAGTGTCTATTTAGGTCCTCTGCCCATTTTTTCATTGTTTGTCTTCCTGGTGTTGAATTGTATAAGTTCCTTATATATTTTGGAAATTAACCCCTTATCAGGTGTATCATTGGCAAATATGTTCTCCCAATACAGTGGGTTCCCTTTTCATTTTGTTGATGGTTTCTTTTGCTGTACAGAAGCTTTTTATTTTAATGTAGTCCCATCTGTTTATTTTCTCCTTTGTTTCTCTTGCCCTAGGACAGTGATGGAGAACCTATGTCATGCGTGTCAGAGGTGACACGCAAACTCATTTTTTTGGCTGATTTTTCTTTGTTAAATGGCATTTAAATATATAAAATAAATATCAAAAATATAAGTCTTTGTTTTATTATGGTTGCAAATATTTAAAAATTTCTATATGTGACACGGCATCAGAGTTAAATTAGGGTTTTTCAAAATGCTGACACGCCGAGCTCAAAAGGTTCGCCATCACTGCCCTAGGAGATATATTGGCAAACATATTGCTAGGAGAGATGTCTAAGATTTTGCTGCCTATGGGTTCTTCTAGGATTTTTATGGTTTCATGACTTACATTTAAGTCTTTTATCCATTTTGAGTTTATTCTTGTGTGTGGTGTAAGTTGGTGGTCTAGTTTCATTTTTTTTTTTCTTGCATGTACCTGTCCAACTTTCCCAACACCATTTATTGAAGAGACTGTCTCTGCTCCAATGTATGCTTTTGCCTCCTTTGTCAAATATTAATTGAGCATAATGGCTTGGGTTGATTTCTGGGTTCTCTGTTCTGTTCCACTGATCTATATGCCTGTTCTTGTGCCAGTACCAGGCTGT